TCCACAGAAACATATTGCACTTAACACACTGAAGACTGCTATAACTATATTAAAATACATCCCTGGTATTATTTCCATGTAAGCCATTCTGAGAGTTGCCACAGAGATGTTATGCAATTGTGAATGGGAGGGGAACTAGGGCTGGGTGAGGATATGCATCAGAAAACCTCTCTATTAAGATTATCATACATACAACTGAAATCTTTTGAGAACCCCAGTCTAGATATTTCAGCCACAAAGTCCTTGTAAAATAAATAAATGAACAAATAAAACACTAGAACTGCAGTTCCAAATTATCAGTAGAATTAGGTTGGTTATACAAGTAAACTAAAAAGCTCAGCTCCTCATGATGTACACAGTATCAGAGGGGTAGCCGTGTTAGTCTGGATATGTAAAAAGCAACAGAGAGTCCTGTGGCACCTTTAAGACTAATAGATGTATTGGAGCATAAGCTTTCGTGGGTGAATGCCCACTTCGTCGGATGCATGTAATAGACATTTCCAGGGGCAGGTATCAATAGCCTCTCAGGCTGCTTCTAGAACTTAATTGATCTGATAATAAACTTCTTTCAAGTTTCCTGAATAAGGAGCATGGGAGGAACATGAAGAAAACATTTTGACCGTGGCAAGATACCAAAAAGGAGGTAAGAAAATGACTGAGAGAGCAAAGATCAGGAAGAATCTCCAAGTCCATTTATTTATTAATTTATTCTGAGCATCCAAAGATGTACTGGACACTTCACAAAATGAGTAAAGACAGAATCCTTCCAGTGACTTCAATGGGCAATGAATCAAACCTTAAGGGTCTAATCCCACCCTCAATTTTTAAACCGACATCAAAACTCCACTTTACTTCAATGGGAACAGGATCAGACTTCTAACTCTCCTATTTAATGGCTGTTCCAAAAGTGCGGCTATGTTTAATCAATAACTATATCCATTTAGTATAGGGTCTACAGCTATGGGATTCTCAAATACGCAATGCAGAGCAACTTTATCAATGTCATCATTGATTACTCTCCTAATTATACATTATGGCTTATAGCATGTTCTAAAATATATTTTGAGCCATTGTGATAGACAGTGAAAAAATACCATGTTCAATGGGGAATGTATTCCAGTGCTATCATTTATAAATGGTCAGAATCACCTGTATTATTACAATTTTCTATTCACAGTGTAGTATTTCTTGAAAGCAAATGACTGGACATTGTTCCCTGAAATACTTGTCTTGTTGCTCAAAAACACTGGAGCATCAGCTGTCTCATACTAAATATCTTATAAATAGCAAACAATGTTAAAACAGGCATTTTAGAAAATGTAATAATCTAGGTTTCATTCAGTGTATTCCAGAGACACCTGGTTCTTATATTTACTTTCATTCTGTAGAATTTCTTAATATTTTTTAAACCATGTTTATTGATGTTTTTCAAGAGATTAGCCAGTTAAGCAGTTATCTGTGCTCCAATTTCCTCAGGAAATACAGGTTAGTTTAATCTTCTTACACTCTTCAGTGACGCTATAGGGCCTGGCTACAGTTTTAAATACCACCTGATTCTAAACAGGTTCAAGAGCTTCATAAATTTTGCTCTAAATTTTGAAGACTAACCTTGTGTATTTTGATCCTAAAGTTCAAGTTTCTATAAGTTGCATCCATGACATCAGGGGACACTTCAACTAAGACAAGAAAAAACAAAAAACCTTGGACTAATCCCAGGAAATAGCCTAATTTTATTATGTGCTTAGGGACACTCTCAATAAGGCTAACAGTCTTTCAGCTGCTGTGAGACCTTTATAAACCTGCAAAGTTCATGCTGTGTGTGTGTGTCTTATATATATAAGACACACACACTCTATATATATTACATGCTTACCATGTGCAGCTCTAAATAGAGAAATAAAGAGTAATGTGTAGTACCTTTCTGAGTTTCCACCACCAAAAAAATGTATGTGACTTAATTTCCTTTGCAATAATTTATTGGGATTTTAGCTAATGTTCTTCCTTTCCCACCAATCTGGCCAGGTCTTCTCTCTTCTTGCATCTCTGCACTAGCTGCTCTCTTCTTCTGCATTAAGTTAAAATTTCTCTATGACTCTTACCCAGCCTATCTCTGGCCTTTTCCCCTTTTACACCTCTTAGCTATGGTCTGACCAAGGTTCACTCCTGAGCACTTCTTTGTTCTCCTTTG